GCTGCAATCTCCGTGCGCCGCAACAGTTTGGAAGAACGTCGGAGAAGCTTGGAAGAAACGCGATACACAAGCTTGTGCCGTACCCTTGACGGTACCATGCCACCCCAGAAAACTTCCGCACCATTGGAGATTGTTACTCACTTTTCTGGAGAAGCCTTGCGCTCAAAGACAGCCGGCGTCTCCGACGCTAAAGTCCGCTCTGCCATGAAGGTCCATCGCGGCTTGATGCCATGTGCTGAAGATCAGGAAATCGACTTCAACGATTACTGGCGTTTTTTCCGGCGACACATGTACGCACTTCTTGTCAAACGCATGCTGTACCTTAAGCGCGATAAAAAGGCATGGGTGTATCAATTCGTTTTACCCGCTCTTTTCGTGTTGGTCGGCTGCCTGCTGATGAGAGCTGGAGTCAACAGTATCTTTGCCGAGAAAATGCCTCCCCTGACTCTCAGTCTTGATGCGTACAATCCGGGCATCCAAATAAACCGCAACCCGCTGCCCTACAATGCGGAGGGTGAATCGTTCATATTTACGATGTGGGAGGGAAATCAACAGATGGAAAATCCGAATGTCGTGGGACAGGACGTGATCATGGCTGGCATTCCTTCAGGTTCGACCTTGCCGACGTACAGTATTGCGGCCAACTCGGTTCAAAACATGAGCTCTGGCCTTCTGGACACGCGAAGGGACTGGAAAGCTTCCCGGTACGGCGCGTTGACTTTCGCCGTAGTAGACGACTTGGAGGAGTTCAATTACAATGTACACGCGAACTACACAGGCGCTCATTCGTCGGCCATATTTGCAAACTTGATCAACGACGCACTGCTGCAGCAGTACGCTCCTGGCTCGAGCATCAAAACGACAATCAAGCCATTGGGAGTCACACGGAATGAGATCAGCACTGCAGCCTCTTTTGACGGATTTACCATCGTGATAATGATGATGTTGGCATTCGCGTTCATTCCGGCAGCATTTGCTGTCTTTGTTGTGCGTGAGCGTGAGACGAAAGCAAAGCATCTACAGCTAGTATCGGGGGTATCGTTCTTGTCGTACTGGCTTTCTACGTGGCTGTTTGACTTCGCAAGCTATCAGGTGCCGCTTTGGATGACAATCGTGATCCTCAAGCTGTTCGATGCTCGGGCGTTAATGAACGGAAAGGCTTTCGGAGCTACGGTCCTATTGATGGAATTGTTTGGAACATCGGTCACAGGATTCACATATTTAACGACGTTTTCTTTCAGGAGACATTCAAGAATTCAGGTTGCGACAATAATGTTGAACTTCATGTGCGGCGTTGTTCTTGTGACCTTGACGGTGATGATGACCTTCATTCCAATCACCCGCGATGTGGCTTTGAAATTGGTGTATCTTTTCAGGCTCGCTCCGCCATTCGCTGCAGGAAATGGGCTCTTGAATGTCGTCTTCACGGACTTCTTTTCGTCGCTGGATCAGAAACAATACACACCATACTCGTTGAACATCGCCGGGTACTCTATGATCTACATGAGTGTGGAGACTGTAGTATATTTCGTCCTGGTCTTGTGGGTCGAGTACTTGATCCGTCGTCCTACCGTATCGAAGCTTTTAGAGGGCGGCTCTTCGTCGATGGCTGCGAAGGACTGCTCTGGAAAAGACGAAGCCGTGCTGGAGGAGGAGAATCGCGTGCGTCGCGAGGCAACGATAGACACAATGAAAGCGGGAGGGGATGTCGTGGTGATCAAGGACATGACCAAGACGTATCGTGGCGGGAAACTAGCTGTGAGGGGCATGTCTCTTGGCATCCCTAATGGGGAGTGCTTCGGTCTGCTTGGTGTGAACGGTGCAGGCAAAACGACCACGCTGAGCATTCTGACGGCTGAGTTCCCGCCGTCGTCAGGGCAGGTGTGGCTTGGCGGGTACGACATCGCTGACAACCCGGAAGTGGTTCGCCGCCTGGTAGGGTACTGTCCTCAGTTCGACGCTCTTTTCGATCTGCTGACTGGTCAGGAGCATTTGGAGCTGTACGCCCGTGTGAAGGGGTTGAGCGAGGCGCAAGTGAAGACGGTGGTAGCGCGGAAAGTAATGGAGATGGACTTGGTGGAATTTGCGAACCGGAACGCTACGACTTACTCGGGAGGCAACAGGCGCAAGCTGAGCGTGGCCATGGCTATGATCGGCTCTCCTCAGATCGTGATTCTGGATGAGCCTAGCTCTGGAATGGACGCTGTGGCTCGTCGCTTCATGTGGAAGGTCATCAGCGACATCACGACAAAGCGGGGCGAATGCTGTGTGATCCTCACGACACACAGCATGGAGGAATGTGAGGCGCTGTGCACACGCATCGGCATAATGGTGGGAGGCCGCTTCCGGTGCATGGGGTCTGCGCAGCATCTCAAGTCGCGATACGGGATGGGCTACCAGCTAGAAATCTCCGTCGCATTGCCACGTGGGGAGATTGTACCGGCCAGTGACGACGAGGACAGTGGGGACGAGACAGAGGGCAAACGAATGGTCCTGCCGGCGGACGACACCTTTTTGGCTCGCCTCGAAGGCGCGGCGGCACGTCTCTCAACGGAGCGCTTCACTATGCCGCAGCTAGAGATAGCTCTAGCAGCTATCGACAAGGCAGCGTGGCTTGAGGTTATCTCACCGACGGGCACTGGAGCAGATGTATGGCAAACGGTGACGGCTTCAGGTAGTATAGGTGTGCGGGAGTTTGCTGGTTGGTGCTCGTTGGAGGACCGTATGGAGAGTATTTTGAGGTTTATAATGGACAACTACCCCGATGCCGTCCTGCGAGAGCGCCAAGGCACCAAGGTTCGCTTCGAGATTCCGTCCAAGGACACAAATACAGGGGCGGCTCGCAAGCTCTCTGAGATGTTCGGCTTGATCGAAGATAACAAAGGGAGATTGCATGTAGAGGACTATTCGGTATGTCAAACGTCCTTGGAGCAGATCTTCAATTTCTTTGCCGGGCAACAGGAGGAAGAGAAGTGCCTTGCAGGAGAAAGAGAGAAGGAGAAGCTGCAAATGGGTGGTGATGTGTGTGATCTGGTCACCGATGAGGATAAAGAAAGTGTGGGAAGTCTTTCCATGCTCGCGGAAACGTGCGGAAGGTCGACAATCATCTCTTCCGGTGCTGTTATTTAGAAGGTTTGAAGGATTCCTGAGAAATTTGTATTCTAGGAAAGCAATATCTGATTCCCGGCCATTGAGGTCCATTATTGACATATAGGAAAGGCAAAATTTTCCACCTTTCGCCTGTATTTCTGCATTTATATGACTTCATCTTATGAAAAAGTGTGAAGAAAGCTATGATTGTACAGGATAATACATGTTTTAAAAGGTTTTGTGTGACGCCAAGTCACAAGTTAGTGTTCGTCCGTTGTTGAACGCTTGACCAAGGTTTTTAGACACACTTAGATCTAGCAAGTGACCTAGGATAGCAATCTTTCTCGTTAGCTCCTGGAAGAATATTTAAAAGCTGTGATCTTCAGGAAAAAAAATGGCGATGAAAATAAAACTTTGTCTTGGTAACTCGGTTGTGTTATGCCGCGAAATGCTATTCGGGATTTGCGTTTGAGTTTTCTATGCCATTTTCCGACAATACAGAAGTCCTATGTCACTGTTTAATGAAGTATAGCATTGGAAAATGAATAAGATGTATTTAAACAAAGGGAAAATAAAGGTAATGCACAAATAAAAGTGGTTTGCTACTTCAATAGATATGGGCCACAAAAAGGTATCGGGATTCCGACTTTTGCGCGTTCATACGTTTGTACGCCACGAAAATTTGAGAAATATTTTTGTTGTCATCGCAGCTCAAGTGTCCTTTGTCGTATATATAAATGGTATCAACATCCGATCGTCATTGTCTGGCCTTCGCTCTGTGTGAAACAAAACACCTTGCGAGGCAGGGCGGGGTAAGCTTCAACTTCAAACGAGAGCCGTCCGCTTCGGTACTCGGTAGCTAGAGGCTCGTGGACTGTCGGGATCGGGCAAAACCACAATTGTCAGCGTAAATTTATGTGTAGACTTGGACCACTAATGCTGAGACATGCATCATCGTTTGTGCCGCCTAGGCTAGTGTGGGAACGGTTTTTATTCTCATTACTCATTGAATCGGTAAACTTGAATCAGCGCATCAATTTACTCTCATAGATGATCAGGCAGCTACTAGTAGATAAGTCAGATGTCTGGAAAGGCACGTACATATCTACTACATGTAAAAGGAAGTACATTAACTTTCAAACAGTGCATATTTTTTTAAGAATCGGGAAAAATTGCGGGTCATCTTCGTCCCGAACAACACAATCATCTTTATTTTTTGTCCTAGACCGACCTATGATGAGAGCATAAATATATAAGTGAGAGGCAAAACGCCTCGAGGACACTTCAATATCTGAAACACAATGATAGCTCTGAAGGTCACATAAACGGTACGCGAGGGCGATCGAACAGGAGTCATCCATGAGACACGAATACTTTTTTCAAGAGATGCTTTTCTTCTCTTCGTTACTATTTCTCTTCAGTATAGAAGTCATAGCAAAATCTCCCCAACAACTAGTTGGAATTTATTTTCCCCCAATGATTATTCGATGTTCATTCCAAGTCCCTATTCAAACATGTCTTCTGCCTGCTTGCTTGTCGGAAGCATGCTTTTCTTTCTTGATTTCTTGTTCCAGACCTTCTACAGCGGAGAAGAGTTCCCTCTTGCTCATCATCGCCCGGTTTCCCAAGATGACTTGTGCCTTTTCAACCGCCGTTTTGTTTGCTAGATGATTTTTCTTCAGGCCACCATCTTGTCGACTGCTTTTGAACAGAGATTTTGTCGCCGACGGAGCTGAAGACTCATTTTTTGCATGCTGCAGATTCCCCTGTCGACGCGTCGCACGCTCCTGCTTTTCCGACCGACCACTTTCACTCTGTCGTTTTTTGTGGACGCGTTTGCTCTTGCTTTCGCTTGGTACAGCTATGTTCGTGTCAGACTTGCAGGGGGTTTTAGTGGCCTCCAGAACGAACTCAAGACTCTTGCTGTCTCTAGCGGCGCCTTCGGCTTGCTCATCAGGCCCCCTCCTTTCCTTCGACTTCGCCATGTATTTGCTCGCTCCCATCAGCAGGTCAAATACTGAGTGGTTCTGTGAGTCTGGCTCCAATTGCTGTTGCTCTGTATTATCTTCACGCCGTCTCTTGGAAGTTTTTTCCACGTCCTCCTTTCTGTTCTTCGTCGCTCCGTGCATCTTCCCGTTTCTTTGCGATGCCCCTCGCCCTTTTCCAGCCACTTCAGCCTCATGCTCAAGCATATCGAGGAGGTCATCCAAAACCTCTTTCTTCCTCTCCCCTTCTTTCTGAGCCTCCTCCCATTTCGCTTGATTTACTCGGTATAGCGACACCCCGACCTCCCGCAAAGCCCGCCGACCGAAATGGCCTCCGGCCAGGCGACTCTCGGCGTCTATCAACTCTTGGACCACATTCTTTTTCCATTCCAAACTCAATCCGCTCGAAGAAAAACACTTGGTCAAAATGTGGAAGCCAACAGGATGTGCGGCCAGGGACGCGTAGTGACCCTGCAATCTCTGGGCGAGCCGATCCGCCAGACTCGAGTTTATTTCATCTCTGTGCGGATCTGAGGTCTTCCTCTTCTTGCTCTTTTCGCCCCGATTTTCTGCTGTCCGACCACCACCCTCGCTTCTCTCCCTTCGTTCTATGGTCGCTGCCCCTAGCTCTGTTCCTGCTGAGGACGCACCTAGGAGCGGATCAAGCAAAGTACGGCTACCGATATTATCCGTCGCCACAGCCACCAACGTTTCAGGTGGCAGCTCAAGTACTGCCCGGCATATTATCCACCCACTGCCCCTGTGTTTCCCCGAACTAGTGGGAAAACGCATCAGACATTCGAAAAGTCGCGCGCCAGGCACGTTGAGGTGCAATCGCCTGTCATGCTCCGTCCCATGCCCTCCTTCCCTATGGCCTTGTCCCACATCGAGTTCCAACCCCGTCTGTAACGCCAGCACAGCCATGTCAAGCCGAGAGCTGTTAGTCCCCTCTTCCTTCTTCGTCTCCCCACCGGCTCCTCCCAAGCCAGAGACGACGCCGTCTACCATCTCTTCCTGGCCATGCCTCAGACGAAGGCAGGCCCCCGCCAGCCGCCACAAAACACCAGCCCGACGTGTCTCCACCAACCGTCGGACTCGCGGCGCCAATTCGTCCAATGCCGCCTTCAAGTGCTCAGGCGACTCTGTCCGCTGCAACCACGTTTGCAGGACAAAATTGGCTACACTGTCCTCGGCAAATTCCATCACCCGACCCCGAATGCACGCCTCGAAAATGCGAGCTGCGACCTGAGTAGGCGCCGTATGCCACAAGACCGCTTCAAGGAAGCGACTACTCATAGTCTCGCCGGCCATGGCATATACAACTTCGGCACACCTATCAGCGTCCTTAAAACACAAGGCTTTCGCCACCAATTGCTTAAAAAAGATGCCATCGGTATCCAGGTGGAAATCTTGTCTGACTGCGCTCTCCTTGCGAGCCACCGCCTGCACAAGGAGACCCAAGGCAGGACTGGCGTAGGGATCACAAAGAGCCTGATGTAAATCCCGCAACTCCATATTGGCCAATTCCGTCACCATCTCTCCTAGTATGTCAGCGAGCCGGGCGGGCACCCGGTGCATGACTAAGGGCGTGGAATGGAGGTTTCCAGTCTCCCCCTGAGTTTTACTTCGTACGTCACCGGGCCCTGCACCAATGCCCTGATAACCTACTGCTACAGCAGTCTCAATACCGTGCTTGTGCTTGGCATGCCGGCCGCGTTTTTCCGCCACCGCGGGCATCCCTGCTAGGAGGCAGAAAAAAGCACGCATGCTGTGCGTCCCGCACAAATCAAAGATCAACGACAACCACGAGGCTCGCAGCTCCTCTGCAAGCTTAGTGGCTGTGTCAGCCAATGATATGCCTTCTCCAGGTGCAGCCTCATCGATCTCTGATCCTGTGCTGAAAGGCGGTTTGTCGTCGAGTCCTTCATCCCTGTCCTCTTCCTCCCCGATACCAAGCAACTCAGCCTCCAGCATGGGCCCCGTCAATGATAGGAAGGTTTGCAGTACATGAGAAGAATATCGATTACTGGCAAGGCATGCTGCGTAGCCGAGACACCCATGTAGAAGATGTGCGAGTTGCTTCCGTGTGCAGAGGCGTGCTACCTTCTCCAAGGTCGGGGCAGCGTGTCTGTCCATGGCAAGACTTGCAACTTTAAACGTGAGCTCATCGATGAGGTTTTGTACAAGGAGCGAACGTTCTTCAGCTTCGTTTTCTTCCTCCTCGACTTCTTGAGATCGTTTTTGTGCGTCGTTCACGATCGTTCCCCTTTGGTTCGAGTTTTGTTGGAGGAGGGCGGTGATGCTTTTGTCGATGACAGGCTCAAGTGAGCGCAAATAAGTCAATGTCTCGCTTTCTGGCCGACGTGGCCGGGAATAAGCGTGAAGAGTTGCTCCACCTTCACCAAATGTGCTTCCATCGCCTTGTATTTGCTGATCTTGGGTTGTGGAGGATGGCTCCATGGACCAAGCGGTGACGGCACGGCAAGAGGAAGATACTAGGTGGCTTTCCGGTAAAGAAACCCCTGTGAAGGCGTGCTATTCGACATAAAGCGCCCAGGACTGGACAATATGAGCATACGTACATGTGAATGGGAAATGCCGCCACCGATGTGGGTATGTAAGGTGTCTCTACAGGTTGGGTTTGGGGAGTGGTGGGGTGGGGAGGTCAACAATGATGGGCCACGACCATTGCCTGCCCTCCAACACCCGAGGCCCCCCAAGCCGTGCACGCGGACACACTCGCAAGCAAGCTATGAATCGCGTCCTTACATTTATTTCCTTGAATCCCCTAGTTCAGTGATGGGCCGGGGAATGCGCGGTGGTGCAAATAAAGGAGCAAAGAAGGGTAAAAAGGGCAAAGGCACCAAAAAGAGCCGGAAGGACAAAGGCTGGACGCATGAAGGAGCAAGCTTTCAAGATATGGCCGAAGAGGCAGCATCCCTGCCGGTAGCTGACACAAGTATACGGCCAGGTGAGGATGTTGGCAACGATACCCTTGTCGACGCAGGCCCTCGGAAGCGCCGTATGACCCAGGCATTGCAGGATCAAATGAGACGGGGAAAGCTCCGAGCCATGCTTCGGGCCAAGGAGCGGGCTGTAGGTCGTAAATTCCAGAGAGCCCGGCAAGCCGCTGAGGAAGCTCTTGCCCCACCGCCTCCTGGTAGGCCTCGGCGGCATAGACATAAGAAGCGCTTGTCTTCTGAAGAGGACATGGGCAGGCAGGAAGGGAGTAGCATACGAAGCCAGCGTTACTTATGGATTCATGATCAGGATACAGGAAGCCAACGACAACGACGTATGAAAGAAAGTGGTGGTGAGCACGGCGTGGCAATGGAGAATGGCGAGGAAATGGGGATGAAAGGGACAGGGCAGGACGCGTACGCAGTCTTGATGGCCGGCCTGGCGTGCAGTGGTGCCAATGAAAAGTACAGGACTATCCTAGAGCAACGGCGCCGAGAAGAAGAGGGGCTGACGGAGAGTACTGACGAAGAGGAGGAGGAGGAGGCCGGTGCGGAGAGGGGGGAAGGGGAGGAGGAAGATACCGAAGGCGACGAAGAAGAGGTGGAACGGGAAGAAAGCGATACAGACGAGAGCGAGGTCTCTGACTATGAGGGTGGTATGGAGGACGAAGTCTTTGGAGAGAATAAGGGGGAAATCGAAGATGAGGATGCGGAGGAAAGCGAGAAAGATGAGGAAGAAGAAGAAGATGAAGAGGAGGAGGAGGAGGAGGAGGAGGAGGAGGAGGAGGAGGAGGAGGAGGAGGAGGAGGAGGAGGAGGAGGAGGAGGAGGAAGGA